TTACCGCCTCTGAAAACCCACTGGAGGGTCAACTCTGGCAGCACACACTCTGTGGAGCCTATCACCAGAGGATTTACAACACATTACAAAACGAAGACTGCGCCACAATTCTTAGAATCATGGCATGACCAAATTGGGAGAAAAAATGACTAAATCCTTTATCTGTAACATGGTCGTGAGCCCTTTGGTAGTCTTTGGTCTTGAACACCTGGATGTTTCATAAAGTCCTCCTGCGTTATAATGTAGTTTGCTTTATAAATTATTAAGGAGCGTAACCCCCAAATCTAACTCATGCTGGCCATTGGAACCAACTCACAGTCGACCCTCTGCATCTGAAAATCACAAGAGATTTCCGAGGCTGAAAACCACAAGGGAGGAGATGCCTGTCTTTTTTTTTTTTTTTTCAGAGTTACTAGTAGATTTGAACCTCTAAAGATGTGTGGGCTTTGGGCTAGCAGTGCATCTCCTTACAGACTAGGCTACAGAAGCTCCCTGAAAAGGAGTGTAATATTTAGTAAGGATTGTATCTCTTTTTATTGAAACCAAACCCGATTTTAAGCACCCTCCTTCAGTTGCCCTTGTACCCCTTTATTCTCCCATTAAAACACATACTGTACTGGGGTTTTCGGAGTCGCTAAATCACAAGGGAGGAGATTGCCCATCCTTCACGGAGCAAGTGGTGGATTCAAACCATGTGCCTTTGGGATTGCAACACAGCTTCTTACCATTAAGCCCATGAGAGCTCCCTTGTTAAACCACATAGAAGAAATAGAATTACTCTTCTATGATATTGCGAAAAATAACTGGGACAGCAGTCGGTGGTTTTAAGTTCTCATTTGAACAGTCCACCTTATTTCCAGCTAGATAGCTTTTAAAACCTTATCTTTCTGGGTCGCCTTCCTTTGCCGCCGTTTGTCTTTGTCATTGTCCTTCATAAAATATAACTATTAGATGTGGTGGGAGCTCTGCATTTTACATGCTGAATACTTTGTGAAGTGTGTTTTGTTTGTGTACACCGTTGAGTTAGAACTGACTCGTAGCTGCCCCTCCGGTGGGCTTGCACGGGCTGTGTATCACGTGGGAGGAGATTGCCCATTTTTCTCCGAGGAGCAGCTGGTAGATTTGGACCACAGCCGGCCTTTGGGTTGGCCGCACAATTTGTTATCATTCTTCCACCAGAGCTCCCGTGTGGAGAATAGTGGATTAATTCTACACTGGAATGAACTGACCTGCATTGTTGCTTTTGTTGGTTGTGTAGTTATTCCATGTTGAATCTGTTTTTTAAAATTAAGAAAAGTTTTTCCCCATTTCGTACTTTTATCATTTGAAGTTTTTAAAGCTAAATATATTTAAAATTCGTTTTGCTAGTTTACATATTTTCAAGAACGTTTTAACTATTACTTGTTCCTAGAGTTTGGCATCTAGCAATATCAAGCAATTACTAGAGAAATATAATTTGTCTAATAATTAAAATTATTAATGTGGGTTTTGTTTTGTTTTTTAATGCGTTCTTAATAAAGGAGACTCTGTGGCTGCCCTGGACAGGCCAGTGAAATTGGGGAAAAGTGGCTCTTGGACAAATTTTAAATGAAAGTTAGTTTTCTTTTTCTTTTATTTATAAAATTAGCTTGTCTAGACTGTCACCAAGAATGAGGAGTAACTGAGCCTCTGTCAGGAGCCGAGGATAAAAATTTTTCAACTAGAGTCTAGTTTGTGTACAATAATCTGGTGAGAAATAGATGGCTTTAAACCTCTAAGAAGTTGATCCATGGTGTGTTTGGGTTTTTTTGAATGGCCACTTAATTTACATTCTGAAAAACTTAGTATGCTAATCACTCAGCATTTTTTGGTCACTATTACCTAACGTTTAAGCTAGAAGAACAACAATATTAGTAGTAGAAGGTTATAAAACTTTTATTGCTGCATGATGAAAGCAGGCTGCTTCTGAGTAAATATGTACAAATAGCATTGCAAGATGCTAAAAAGGATCATTTCTTTGTGAGTAGTATGAAAGGTTTTAAAGCTATTATTTGGGATTTTTCTCCTGGTTTTGTATATTTAAATAATATGTGTTACAATTTTAGGAGCTGTTATTGACATATAACTTTTAAAAATAAGGGGGGAAAACTAAACCCTGCTTTTGTTCAGTTGAGGGTGACGCCTGGCAGCCCTCCCTTGGGTTTCGAAAGCTAGAACTCTTTGTTGAAGGACTGTGCCCATTTTGGTTTTTCTCACAGAGCAGCTGATGGGTTTGAACCAATGATCTTTCAGTTGGCAGGTTGATGTGTTACATACATGCCTCTAGGGCCATTTTATAAAAGGATTAGGAAATAAAAAGCCAGACTACCCATGAAGACTTGTCAGTATTTGAGAATTTCCTTACTAACTTTTATCTATTTGCTTATGTCCATTTTACAAACAGTTTAAAAAGTTATAAATGTAGGAGAACATCTTTATGATTTTAAAAGATAAAAGTTGAACTTCCTCTGGAACTCCCAGGTTTTCGTTTAGGGGCCAGATGTATTTTACAACCTTTCCAGCTTGGCACAAATGGAAGCAAATATTTATTAAGTAGAGTGAAAGTTTGCACACCTTGATTGTAATCAGTATAGTTAAATTATTCATGTAAAAATTGTTGAATTGGCTCTGGTATATGTGGTCTCAACAACAAAAAAAATTACTAAAAATTTATTAATTATTATAAACATGGTTAAATGATGTGTATAAATGGCTAGGATCTCTAAATAGAGATGTAATAATTTAGCTCAGTTTAACAAACATAATTTAAGCAACTCTGGATTGGCCAGGTCTTGGGTAGGCCGGCAGAAGGGTGAGTAAGACATAGTCCTTGCTTGACTTGGCACTAAATTATAATTCCTTTTGAGTTTTAATTAGAATTGGATATTGGGAAGGGGACATTAGAAGTGAAAGGGAAGAAAAGAAATTATTTGGAGTCTTAACAAACTCTTAAAATCTTTAATAATAGGAATCACATGAAGTGTTGCTGTAATGGAGAGGAATGAGGTGATCCTTTTCATCATAGACTGTGATAGGGTCTTATAACTTAATACAGAAATGAGGCTAATAGATATTATGCACATTCCATCAAATGTGGGTGTCTCATTCAGTAGTTGATTAGAAATATTTAAGGTCTCACAATGTACATGAATGAAAAAAAGTAAATTAATTATTGTGTACAAACCAATAAAAAATGTTAAAAAAGAATTTAAAAAATAGATTCCCTCCTATAGTCAGGGAAATAGAGAAATACAGTGAGTAGGCCTCTAAACCAAACAGGAAGGCCTTGTCTTATAGAACCCAGCTGTGTGAGAGATGAATAACACTATTTATATGACATGGCTTGGGTTCCATTGGTTTTTTAAGACCTCATTTGATGATCTAAATACATGTGCTCATTCTTCAGGGAGAATACCCAAAGTACCTTTTTAATTTTTAGATTCAGATAATGTAAGACAATAGATACCAAAATATATTCTTGAAATGATAGAGAAGAAGACATTTATTGTATTTGAATATGAAATCTGTTTAGTGATGGTACACATTTTAATCAACTGTATTCAATATGAATGTTTATTAAGAATTTATTGTGAAATTAAGTTGGAATTATTATCATTTTTTCTCTTCTGTAATTAGAGATTTAACATTTTTCTCTCCAGTGAAAGCATAAGACTTTTCAAAGCACTGCTAATACTTTGTTGAAGTTATTAGATCACATATGTTGGCGTTATGTGCCATCAAGTTGACTGTAACTCATAGCAACCCTGTGTACAGTAGCTCTGAACCCTGCCCTGTCCTGAGTCAGTGTCACTGTCTCTGACACACTTAACCCTATTACCCAAGTTACTGTGTCATTCCATCTCATCCAAAGTCTTCCTCTCCTTTGCTATTCCTCCCCCTCTTCCAAGTGTGATGTCCTTCTCCAAGGACTGATCCCTCCTGGCACCATGCTCAAATTTTGTGAGACAGAGCTTCAAAATCCTTGCCTCCAGGAAGCAACCTGGTTTGGCCCTCTCTTGGTAGTCGTTGGTATGTTCGGTGCTCTTCTTCAGCACCACAACTCAAAGGCACTAATTCTTTTTTTTCATCCTTAGTAATTGTCCAGTTCTCTGATATATAGCAAGTAATTGTGAAGACCTTGTCTTGAATCAGGTGCACCTTAGTCTCTAGACTGAAACTGTAGCTCTTCAACACTCTGGAGAAGTCCCTGACAGCAAATATAAGAGATGCAGTAATGTTGAATCATGTTTATTGTGTGCTAGCTGTCTGGTGACCTAATGGGTAAGGAGTTGCACTGCCAACCCAAAGACAGGCAGTTTGAATCCACCAGCAGCTGTGTTGGAGAAAGGTGTTCTTTCTCCTGTGCAATTTACAGCTTGTGAAAATCTGATGCAGGTGCAACTATGAGTTGGTTTCGGTCTGACAACAGTGAGTTGAATGAGTTGAGAATTCAAGAAGTTTCTTATTGTAAGCATGTTTTGGCATTTACAAGAGCACTTGAACTTTTTTGGTTTTATGTTACTCTTTGCTCGTTGATATTGTTATCTAGCTAATTAGCTATAAAACACAGATATCCTTTCTTCAGAAAGTAGAATAAACTTTCCTTGTCTTCCTAAAATGATCCCTCACTTGGTAGAATTTTGATGCATCTTCTTAAAATTCAAGTGCTGGAAATGAGCTTAACATCTCAATTAAACCAACTATATGTTTGTTGAAGTTCTGGTTTATTAGACTCAATCCACAAACATGTAGACGAAGGAATTCTACTTTTTTAGTGTTTATTGGTTTATAGAAATTGCTAAACTGTATATTTTGACCTTATTCATGGAAAACCTGCTTCATTCTTACTGAGCAGGAGTATTACTTGTATTTTGTACGTATTGGATATGTAGTACATGTTTGCTGATTATTTATCCACCAACACCATACTGGTTTTTCTCACATCTGCTAACATTATACTGTTTATTTGTTTCTTTTACCAGTTTCTTAAGCAATTAGGGCTGCAGCCTAACTGGCAGTTTGTTGATGTCTATGGTATGGATCCTGAACTCCTCAGCATGGTACCAAGACCAGTCTGCGCAGTGTTACTTCTCTTCCCTATTACAGAAAAGGTAATTGCCAAGTAAGATACGATATTTTTGGTAAATACGAAGTCCTTTTTTATTATTTAATTAAAAATACATTCTCCTTTTAGAACAAATACTATTTTTATATAAACTCATACAATCCAGAAAGCAGAGATATCATAAAAATTAAGAGATGCTGCTTGGAAGCCAATCCATAAGTGAATCTTTAAATTTTTGTTATTTTCTTTTATAATATATTTATTGGCCTCACTTGTGTTCTAATATGGCATATAACACATTTTGAAGTATGTAATTTAGAAATGTTAAGTACAGAAATAATAATAACTGTACCCTAGGACACAGATAAATGAAGAATATTCAAATTTTCCTATATAAAAAGTTTTCAACTTGTAAAAAAAGAAATCTTCTTAACCTATTTTATGACAATGGGGAAACTGAAAGCATGGATTACATTACTGTCAGAATAAATTGGTTTTGGCAAGAAATCACGAAGCTCAAATCCCTCTTGATCGGCACATTTACACTATGTTAAGGATTATAGATAGATATTCTTGGATTTCTACTTAAAGTCAAATCTCCTTCTATTTCAGCCTTTTTTAGAATGATATCATATAGCTAGATCTAGTAAAGACAGTATTTTTGATTGCAGTGTAAAACATCTTTCGAGTTTCTATCTTTCTAGTTGTTATTTTTGTTTTAGAAACAATAGGATGATTAGTTGTAAAAAAATCAAGTAAATGTTTGGGAAGATGTTGGTGACTTGACATGTACACATTCTCGTTGTCCTTTAGTCAGGATTTGAGAATTTATGGAGCTAAATCACAGAAGTTAAAAATTTGGCATAACTTAATACTAGACTTTTTTTTTGCACAATAACTAATTAGCTTCATTTCAAGGTAGTTAACATTGAAAATTGTCTCCACTTATGTGTTCAGCCTGAATTTAAAACTCATCGTGAGAAGAGATTTAAAGCACTGAACACCAAAACTCAAAAGACCAGGTGAGCTGTGGTAAATCACTGATATCATCCATGAAGAAAGTAGAAGGTCATTGCAGAGACAGAGGAGGAGGAAGAAAATCAGCGTGGGTGTCAGACCCTGAAAACTGTGCCGCGGTGTCAAGAAACCCAAACTAAAGGAAAAGATGCTGACGTCAAAGAGCTGAACAGAAGACTTCAAAGGGCAGCTTGAGGAGACAGAGGTAACTGTTAGAATGAACTGTGCAGAGAGCTGAAATTATAGAGGGAAGAACTGGCTCAGGATTCCCAAGCTGAAAGAACAGAAAAGCAAATTCAAGCCTTGAGAGGCAATATTTTGAGATGCTATGGGCAAAATCTTGAATGAGCCAGGAAGCATCAAAAGAAGATGAAGGGATTAACTGCTCAGAATAACTATACCAGAAAAAACTGGTTAACACTGAATAATTTCAGGAAGTGCTTGATCAAGAGTCAAAGGTAAGGAAGGAAGAAGTTCAAGCAAGAAGGTCAGTTGAAGGCATTGGCAAAAATAAGGTCCCACAAATCAGTAACCAATTGACATATTTCAAATGACAGATGTAGCCCTGCCTGTCTGACTGACAGGAAGAGATCTCTATTTGTTCTCTTTATCATTAATTAATACCACATACAAGAAAATACTGCTGAAGATCTACTTAAAAATGGCTAGAACAGTGCATAGATCAGAAATTGACAGAAATTCAAGCTGGATTTAGAAGAGGTCACCAGGAATATCATTGCTGATGTCAGATGGATCCTGGTTGAAAGCAAAGAATATCAGAAGAATGTCTTTTTGTGTTTTATTAACTATGCAAAGGCATTTGTCTGTGTGAATCATAACAAATTATGGCTAACATTGAAAAGAATAGGAGTCCCAGAACACATAATTGTGCTCCTGTCAAATTTATGCCTACAACCAGAAGCTCTTGTATGAACGGAGCAAGGGAACACTACATGGGTTAAAATTAGGAAAGGTGTGCATCAGGGTTGTATCCTTTCTCCATAAAAATCTGTATGCTAGGGAGCTCTGGTGGCCTAGTGGCAAGAAGCTGTGTTGCAATCTCAAAGGTGCACTGTTCGAATCCAACAGATGCCCCACTGGAGACGGAATGGCAGTCTCCTTCTGTGCCACTCAGATCCAATTTGACAGTACACAACACCAGGGGATAATCTTTATCTTGAGCAAATTATGTCAGAAGGCAGACTCTGAAGATGAATGTGGCATCAGGATTGGAGTAAGACTTATCAATAATACACATTATGCAGATGGCACAGCCTTGCTTGCTGGAAGTGAGGAGGACTTGAAACACTTGCTGCAGAAGATCCAATACTGCAAACTTTCAATATGCATTGCATTGCAACATCAGGAAGATAAAAACTCATCACTGGACCTACAGGCGACATCAAGATAGATGGAGAAAAGATTTAAACTGTCAACAACTTCAATTTACTTGGATCTCCACTCCATATATTTAATATTGCACTGGAAAAGACTGTAGTCAGGGACCTCTTCAAATTACTGAGGAGCAATGATGTTAGTTTGAGGACTAAGGTGTGCCTGATTCAGATCATGGTCTGTTATTTGCGGTATTGCGGAGAGCTGGACAATGACTGAGGATGACAGAACGAAATTGATGGCTTTGAACCATGGTGTTGGAGAAGAGTGCTGAATATCTTGTGGACTGGCAAAAGAACCCAGAGATATGTCTTAGAGAAAGTGCAGCCAAGAGTGCTCCATGGAGGCAAGGATGGTGGAGCTTCGCCACATGCTTAGGGCGTTTTGGTAGGAGAGGCTGTTCCTTGGAGAAGGACATCATGCTTGGAAGGGTATGTGGACGGTGAAGGGAGAGGAAGACCCTCAACCAGGTAGATCGGCACAGTGACTGCAGCAGTGAGCTGAAGTGTGTCAGAGATGATGAGGAGCGTGCGGGAGAGGGCAGGGGTCAGGTCTCTGTCAGGTTGTACACAACTCAGTAGCACCTAATGACATGCTTAACACATGCAAAAATGTTTAAAAATAGAATCTTTTTTCATATTTTTTTATAATCATGGAATTTTAGAGTTGGAAGTCTTTTTGTGATTGCTAAATATAAAGCCAAATATTTTAATTTTATTGATGTGGTCTTAATGATTCTGAAGCTAGCTAGCTAATTTATCTAATAGAACAAAACCTAAATCTCTCTTGTATGGTTTTGACTGCTAAAGTAAGCCATTGGATAACTATCTAAATCAAAATATCAAAGCCATTATTGCTGAGTCGGTTATGGTCATGATGACTGTGCTCTGTTGGGCTTTGTAGAATGGGATTGAGCCCCATAGGATTGTCTGCTGGGACCTTTGGAACGAGACCACCAGACCGTTCTGAGGCACCTAGGGTGGGTTTGAACTGCCAGCCTTTCTTTTAGTAATCAAGTGCTTATAATAACCACCAAAGGACCTCTCATTATAAGAAGCAATAAAAATTGGGGGAAAAACAAGTAACTGCTTTAAAGCTTAGGATTTTTTAGCTGATGTGATATAAATAGGAGTTTATGGTCCAAATTGTACATTTCTCAAAACATTGACTGGTGTGTTTTTTTTAAACAAAAAAAAAAGGGCCTAAGTTTTAAAAAAGAATAGATGATATTTCACTTCCTTTTATATGGTGTGTCTTCCATATGCGAAAACATGTGATCCGTATCTGTAGCACTTGGTCACTTAACAGGTCATCCATACTGAATTTATTATGCCTGATTTCTAGGAAAAACACAGTTCTTGAAATAATTATATCTGTATGTATATACATTCAGGAATATATATTCTCGAATGAGCCCTGATGCTACAAATGAGAAATCGTAGGTTTGAACCTGTTCAGTGGCTGTGCAGGCAACATTCTTGGCAATTTGCCTCCATAAAGATTAGAAGCAAGGAAACCCACTGGGGCTGCTTGGTCTATTCAGTGGAGTCATGAGTTGAAAACAGTTGGCTGGCTCCTAGCCTGTGAGTGCATCTGCATGTGTGTGCACACAAACACCCACAGAGGTAGAGAATATTAGTGACATCGGTAACTTTGCTTGTCCTTTAACCTGATAGGTCCAGGTCCCATTTTAGCTGATAACGGACATACAACTAAGTCCCACAAATGCTTTCCAATGGATGCTTTAAGAGATGCAGATTGTTCCAGTCCTGCGTGTTCTAACTTAGAACTGGGTATGTCGTTGTAAATGTCATTCAGTGACTTCAGCATACTGACAGCAAGAACGGTCCCTGTCTCTTTGAACAGTTCTTCATGGTGTCTTAAATGTGTGCTTTATAGTAGTGCTTACGAGCCAGTGAGTCAGAGGTGAAGCGGCTGCGCATTTCTCTCTTGAGACTTGGGATGCTTGTCTCTCCCCAACAGCCTCTTGACCATGTGTTTTTTCTTTGATCTCCTTTATTGCTTTTACTTTGTTCTTGTACTTTATATCATTTTAGGACTTCTTTCCCCCTTAAACTTTAGGTCTTGGAAAGCTTTACAGACTCATTTTGTCTTGTCAGTGAGGAATGCCAACAATAGTGTAAACTGTCAGTTCAGCTTGTTGCCGTGGAGTTGGAATCATAACTCACCCTCCAGTGGGTTTTTGTTGTTGTTGTTATGTGCTTTTGGGTTGCCTGCAACTAATAGTTGACCCTATGTACAGCAGCTCTGAACCCTGCCCTGTCCTCAGCCACCCTCGTTAATTCCAGCACACCACTCTCTGTATCAATCCTTCTCATGTGGGGTCTTCCTCTCCTGCACTTTCCCTCCACCCTTCTGAGCATGATGTCCTTCACCACGGCCCAATCCCTCCTGGCTACATGCCCAAAGTATGTGTGAAACAGAGCTTCAAAATCCTAGCCTCTAAGGAGAAACTTGGTTTCACCCTCTCCAAGACAGACTTAATTTGTTTTCTTGGCAGTCCGTGCTATGTTCAAAACTTTTCTCCATCACCACAATTCGGAGGCATCTGTTCTTCTTCTTCATAGTCCAGCTCTCTGACACATAGCAAGTAATTACACCGACCATGGTCTGGATTAGGTGCACTTTAGTCTCTAGACTGACATCATTGCTTTTCAGCACTCTTAAGAGGTCCCTGACAGCAGATTTTCACAATGCAATTTGTCTTTTGATTTTCTGATTGCTGGTGTTAAGAGCACTGATTGTGGAGCCAAGCAAGCTATAATTACTAATAACCTCAATCTCTTCTCCATCTGTCATGGTGCTGCCAGTTGGCCCAGTGGTGAGAATCTTTGTCTTCTTGATGTTGAGCTTCAATCCATATTGATTGATTGTAGGTTTTTAGCAGTTGTAAATCTCACAGGAAGAGCTTGTTAATTTTCTCTTACACAGCAGCTGGTAAATTTGAACTGGCTGTCTTTGGGGTGATAGATGGTGTAACTTCTTACCAGCTACACCATCAGAGCTACCTAGCTTAAACTGTAGGCGTATGTAAACATTTCCACATAAGAACACAGTGGATCTCACCTTCTTACAGTTATTATTGAAATTATGATCATTCATTTTAGTTTACTCTTGAGAATGTAATGTAATACTTTGATTTACAGGCATATTTGTAAAAACCATGTTTTTAAGCTTAAAAGCATAGGTTTTCAGGAAGCACCTTCTTAATTAAGAGTTTTCTATAGGCCCTATTTATTTCCTCTGTTGCAGCCATCACCAGAGTTTCTGTAAAAGGCCAGAGAGTAAATATTTAGTCCTTGTTGCCTGGTAGTGTGAAAGGAGCCATAAACCTCAAAGTAAATAATCACTGTTGAGTCTGCTTCCACTCGTGACCTTTTGTGTGTCCAAGGAGAACTTGTGCTCTGTGGGGTTTCAGTGGCTTATTTTTTAGAAGTAGATTGCCAGGCTGTGATAAATACATAAATTAAGCGGTGAAATGACACAGTAGGCGGAACTTGACTGTATTTTGTTGCTCTAATTGGAATCCGAGACATTTTAGGAAAACAATCAAATCATCTTTCCACTGCCTTCTTCACTCTCTTCCTTTTCCTGACTCATTTTTAATACTTTTATTATTTATGGAAGGAGCACTGGCGGTTCAGTGTGAGTAAGCACTCAGATACTTAACCAAAAGGTTGTCACTTTAAACCCACCAGTGGAACCTTGGGAGAAATAACGAGGCTGGCTGCCTCGATAAAGACGTACAGTCTAACAACACAATGGGACAGCTCTGCTGTGATCTGTAGGACAGTGGGGGTTGGAATTAACTCCATAGAAAAGATTTTGTGTTTTTTGTTTTGTTTTGTTGTTATCCTTTTTTTTTTTACAATTAGGAAACTGAAGCATAGAGAGAGACAAAAGTGACTAGCGAACTCACACAACTGATAATTGTGCAGCCCAGAATGAACCATAGAGCCCATACCATATTGTTTTTACAAGCAGTCATTGTATATAATAGTGAGCTTCTGTTATGGCTAAAATAGGATTATAACTGTTGTTATGTGCCGTTGTCTGACTAGTGACTCATAGCTGACCCTCCAGTGGGTTTTCAGAGGCAATAAATCACAGGGGAAGGTTCTTTGAATATAATAAGCTCTTTTGAAAAGAAGAATGCCCTCTTCAATGTCAAATATTACAAAAATTTGAAAATTAGAAATTTAAAGGCCCCAGATAACCAGTAACTCACCACAGAGAGGGACCCTTTTGTATGTTTTTGGTGAAATCCCGCCCCCCCCTCCCGCCCTTTGTGTATCTTTAAAAGTTTATATATTTGACTGGAGATCCAGATCAGGTCTTACTTTGTAATGTTCCTTAAGTCTTTTAATCCATAGATTCCCTTGCCATTCCCGTCTGTACCCTCCCTCCTCTCACAAGTCATATTATTATTAAAGAAACTCATGGCTTATGTTGAAGTTTTCCATAAACTTTTGATGATTTTTGAGGGCAATTGCACCTTCTTGCTGTAGTCATTCTCCTTTATGTTTCTGGTTATTAGATTTGGAGGTTTGATCTGACTTGGATTATCTTTCTTTTTTAAAAAAAAACAGTAAAGGAGAAGGCAGGAGACTCTTTGCAGAGTGTTCTGTACTTATATTAATAGGAACATAAGGTCTTGGCATTTTTTCTGTGAGTTTCTTACCAACCAGTGATGTTTATTATCTCAAAAACTCCAACACGTTGCGGTCAAGGTAGAACCGACTCATTGCTGAACTTGCTGCAGGTCTTTGGAGGCTGTAAAATCACACAAGAGGAGGTTACCCATCTTTGAACCACTGGAGAAGTCCATCCCCTGAGTTTGCAGCTCTCTTCCCTGTGAGAATACACACAGGAGCTCCCTGCCTGCCCTCTGGACTCATTCAGTTAGTAGTTTCTGATTATTTTTAATGTATATATTGTTGTTGTTGTTGTTAAGTGCTGTCGAGTCGCACACGATTCATAGCGACCCTATGAAGGAGAGTCCTTAATGCTTGGGTGCCTTTTTTCTTCTCTCCAGGTTCATAGGGTTTCTGGAGGCAAACTACTACGGAAGTGGATGCCACTCCTCCTTCCAAGCTTGTTTTAATCGGGGAGCTCCACCCCACTCTCTGTCCGCATTGGGTAGCCAATCATTAACGCATTTGACATATTAGTGTCACAGTGTTCAGCCTCACAGCAACCACAAGTGACTGCGGTACGGCAACTTGTACACCAGGGCTATACGACCTAAAGGAATGTCTGAACAAAAATAATGAAAGACAGGCCCGAGGGCCGCGGATTAAGTCACCCATCTTTGGCTTGGTAGTATCGCTTTCTGTCCACTGGGCCAGCTGATCTCTTTCTCTATGGTGATATTATTGTTAAGTGCCATCGAGTTGCAGGCAACTCATAGCGACCCTATGAAGGAGAGTCTTCGAGGCTTGGGTGTGCCTTTCATCCTCTCTCCGGGTTCATAGGGTTTCTGGAGGCAAGCTGTTAGGGAAGTGGATGCCACTCCTCCTTCCAGGTTAATGTATATACCAAGAAAATATTTTAGAAAAAGGGGAGTTGGGTTATATTGAAATTAATATGTACTGATTGAAACCTACTGTGTAGTCATGAACAAATTTCTAAGGCAGGACATCTAAATCTATTTCATCCTTTTAAAAAATCCTTTGTATTGTTTAGTATAATGTGTACCATAGCATGTTAAGTAGATCTCCACTGAAGGACATTTAAAATTTTCCAAGTTTTACCTATACCTGGGAAAGAATAAATAGATGAATGAGACCTTCTAAGAATCAGATCTTAATGCAAATCACAAAGCTTCAATAGGGTAAGAGGAAAACCCACAGACAGGGAAAAATATTGGGCAATAACATATCTGATAAAGGACTTATATTTAAAATTTATAGACTTCACTAGCACCTCAACAAAAAATGTAAACAACCCAGTCACAAAATGGGCACAGAATATGAATGTACACTTCCAAAGAAGAAATTCAGATGGCAAAAAAACACATGAAGAAATGTTCAAAATCCTTGTCTATCAGAGAGATACAAATCAAAACAACTGAGATATCTATCATCTTACTCCAGCAATAACAGCAGAGTTCAACAGGACAACAAACAACAAATGCTGGTGAGGTTGTGGAGAAATTTGAACTCTTATTTACTGCTGGTGGGAATGTAAAATGGTACAACCACTATGGAAGGTTATCTGGCTCTTTCTCAAAAAGTTGGAAATAGACATACCGTTTTACCCAGCAATCACACTAAAGAAACAAGAGCCACAACTCAGCTGTATGCGCACACATATTTATTGCTGCATTATTCACAATAGCAAAGAGATGTAACCAACCAAAGTGCCTAATGACAAACGAATCAATAGAAAAATTATGGTACATTCAAACAATGGAATATTATGCAACATTGAAAAACAACTGATAAAGCATTATACAACATTGGGAAGCCTGGAGAACATTATGCTGAGTGAAATATCTTAGTCACAAAAGGACAGATACTGTACAACAACGTTTTTATAAAATAGCAAAGACAGAGGTGGGGTAGGCAGAGAATAGGAAAAGAGTGGATAGTTAAAGAACATTGCAGTAGAACAGAGAAAGGGCAGAACTGTCCAAAACGAATATATGATTAGGCTTCATATGTCTGACAACAGGGGGTGCATTCTGGGCAGGCTGGAGGAAGGGAGGGAAGGAAGGAAGGAAGAAAATGTGCTACAAAAAAAGGGGAAAATTATACATTAAAAAAAGTTACTTGGAGGCGGGAAAGGGAGAAAAATGTGGAAAAGTGACTAAAATCCAACTTTTCTGTAAACCTTTGTTAAAATCTTAATAAAATAAAAGTTTAAAAAAAATTAAGTTTTCTGAGTTTTGTGTTCTTAAATGTAAATTTACATTTTAAAAATCAAACTATGCAAAGGACTTTAGGGGGGTCTACCTGTTTAGATGCTAACATAGGAAGCTTTGGTGGCCTAGTGGTAAAAAGCTGCACCTCAATCCCAAAATCCCAAAGTAATGTGGTTCGAATACAGCAGCTGCTCGGTAGGAGAAGGATGAACAATCTCCGTTCATAAATTACCTCTGAAAACCTGTATGAGCGTTAGTTATGTCGTGGTTCCAACTCAACAGTACACAACAACAATAATTGCCTTATACCCTCTGGAAATGTTGAACTCTGAATAACAAGAAATGTGAATTTTTTTGCTTATAATCTTAGCAATATGGAGTACTCCTTCCCTCACCCCATCTTTATGAAGTATTTTTTCAAATTCTTCTATTTAAAACCCTCTTTTAAAAAGTTACTTATATTTTTTCTTTTAGAAATTGTTTTAGTTCTTTGTCATTTTAATGTTATTTTAATATACTACTGATTTTCCTTTCAAATAGTATGAAGTATTTAGAACAGAAGAAGAGGAAAAAATAAAATCTCAGGGACAGAACGTAACATCATCAGTATATTTCATGAAGCAAACAATTAGCAATGCCTGTGGAACAATTGGACTGATCCATGCTATTGCTAACAATAAAGAAAAGATGCACTTTGGTAAGTAATTATTCCTTTCTGCTTTTTGCCCTACTAAGATGCACATTAACGTCATTGAGCAGTAGGTGGTGCTGTAATTCTTTCAAACGAGAAGAGAACACGTTGCCCTTTTTTCCCTTTGCATATTCTGTTAGAAAAAAAAATTTACCCTCTCCATTCTCTCATTTGTGGATAAATGGAGTTCAATAAACAAACAATTTAAGCTCTATCATTTATCCCAAGACTTAATTTTTCTTTACAAATTGATTGTACATAGTTTCCTACCTTAATTCTTTTTTTAAAAAAATTTTGAAATGGAAGAAGTTATTACCTCAAATCTTTAAAGGTTCTTATCCTTTATGTTGTTAGGTGTTGTTTATGTTAGAATTTTAATTTGGAATGTGTTTTGCTGTATTGTTTTATATTTTATTTTCTCAATTTACCTGTGAAAGGATTTTTGCTTTAAAAAGCGAGTTTCCATGTTTGTAGCATTTTTATTCATCAGTTTATTTGAGGTACTACATTTTGAAATGTTTTCAACCATACCCTCTTTAATATTTTAAGAATCTGGATCAACCTTGAAAAAATTCCTGGAGGAGTCAATGTCAATGAGCCCGGAAGAAAGAGCCAGATACCTGGAGAACTATGATGTCGGTACCTTCTTTCTGTCTTGATTTAATATGTGGGCAGACTATTGTGAGATTAAACTCTGAGTCTTTCTTGAAACTGTAGTTTGAGAAAGTATGAATTTTGTTGATCTGTGTAAAGAGATCTTTTATGTTTTTTAGCTAATACCAGAAATGTCCATAAGTGTTGATAATTGGTAAATTATTTACTACGTTAACAGCTAAAAGAAAGAGTAAAAGCAATTTGATTCATAAATTACTGAAACTGCTTACTACCGGGTATTCCGTATCATTCCCTTTCTGTGATACTTATGCCTGACAATACCCTATGTGGTTTTTGCTTGGCTAGAATTTAGAATGAGGCTGAATACAAATGGAAAAACCAAAGTCTAAGACTGTCGTTTTATCAGTTAATAATATTTTTGCATGTACAAAGTCAAAAGGTACATAATCTGGTTTTAAAGGAGTATACAACTTTATAGAATTTTTTAAAAATTTTATTTTCCCTTTCGATGTTTTTCTTTTTAAGATTTTTTTTGCCTTTTATGACTTTACAGGGTAGAGTGAAAATCCTTTTAAGTTGGAGGCAGTATATTATGGAAATGACTTGGCTAGAACAATTTTTTGTGCAGAGCTTGTACTCAGTAAATCATTGATCTTATCGTGGGTGTTTGTTTTTTTTTTTCACTCCAGTATACTTAAGACTATTTTAAATAATTATTTTTAAAAAGCTTGAAGATACCATAAAGCATCTTTATTTTTCATCCAACAATAAATAAACAACATAAAAACTTTCTATAATCCCAACAATGAGTGGTAAAGACCATCATTTTCTGTTAGCAGTATATATTTAATATGTACACGATTTTTAGAACCAAAATTTGTTCACACTGACACTGTCTTATAACTTGCTTTTCTCACTTATCACAAACGTAATACATGCCAGTAAGTATATATTGACATCTTCATCTAATGGCTGCCCAGCTTTTCATTATTTAACAAGTAAATTATCACAAAAAAATGGAATCGATTTCTCTTTTTCATTAGAAAAATTTGCTAATTTTTAGGTACATCATTGTAGCTAAATCTTTGCAGAGATCTTTAATTATATATAATTGTGTACAATTTGTATGTGAGTCTGTAAATTCCTAGAAGAGATTGCTCGATCAGTTTGCATGTTTTTAAAGCTTTGGTTTTTTAATTCTGCCAAATTGCCATCTACAAAGATTGAACTCTTACTGTACTTTTACTTGTATTTACTTACTAATATGCCTATTTCTCTGCATCTTGCTAACAGTGGGTATTTTAAGAACACTGAAAAAACAGAATGTAAAGAAATGAGATTTTCTAGCTTCTGATAAATGCATGCTCTTTGCTCCACGTTTCTGAACTGCCCACAGATGCTGCATGATGAAGCATAAATTCCGCCAGAGCTGCAGAGGAGCATGAACCATGGAGACACAGATGGGAGGCGGGCTTTTTCCCTCCCTCTGTGCAGATGCCCACTTTATTCTTCTTTCAGTTGAATAAAGTGGCAATTACTAGTTATAACAGTTGAATAAATGAAATGACTGTGGCTTAGGCCCAGTGTTCTAGTTCTTAGCTCTTCAGAGATGGGGCTTGAAAAATAGAGCAATTCTCATTTGGTTATTCAGACATTCTTCAATATTGATTATTGAACGTTTTTTTAATTTCCTTCAGTTGATTATTTCTAACGACGACTGTAAACGTTAAATTTTGGTTTTGTTGTTTTGTTTGGTTCCAGTTAAAAAGGTAAATATGATCATTTTTACCTTGTATTCCTACTGCAGGCTATTCGAGTTACGCACGAGACCAGTGCTCACGAAGGTCAGACTGAGGTATTTCACTTTTTTTCCCCCAAACTTTTTTTGCTATGCATTAACTTTTACTGTGATGGTTTAGTATAAATTATAGTTTTAGGAAATTGCTTAGAATATTTTTTGAGGGAATTTCTGCATTTAAAAATTGTCACATAATGGCTCAAGGACATATTTTTATGAAATATTTGTTCTTTCCATCTTTTTTTTTTTCCTGCAGTGCACATGCCTCCCTTCTTACAGAAAGTTTATTGTCAGAAGGTAGAATTTAATTAAAGTCTTTCACGTTGGTGTATTTATAGTGTGTATGTGTTTAATGCCAGTGGATTATGATTTTTTCCTTCTGTTTAACTTGAAACTTCATTCTCTTGTATGCAACGATGACATCATCTTTATTCTTTAAAAGAACTTGAGAAAAGTCTTGATTTTTAAAAGTAATCTTAGATATTTTTAAACTATCATAGAGGCATTTTTAAAAGGAGAAAACTCTTTGAGATGCGTGCGCATGGACACACACACACACACAGCCATTACCCAAGCACAACAGCAAAGCAACTACAGTTTTTCTTAGATGGTCTGGATACTTGAGTATGTTTATAGTAATGCCATTTAGGAACCAGAACATTGCTTCTTCCTGTGACTATATCATGTCTCCCTGGTGTTATTTGAAAGGTGCAAACTGTTGGTTTTTTAAATTTATGCATACACACAGAGAAACACACGTAAATGACATATATATGTGCTATAATGTTAATAAAGCTAACAGTAGATTAGAAATTAATAAAATGCTGTGGGGTTTTATATTGGCTTTACATGATTCCTGATCATATCTTTTTTTATGCTTGGCTTATTTTGTTTATTTTAACAATGATGATGGTGTTCATCAATATGAGCTATTATAAGAAAAGGATTACTGCAGTGGAGCAGTGAAATGCTTTTAATCCTGGTTCACTTTAAAAACATGTTTCATTGGAATCCCTTCTCTTTTTCCCTCGTTGGTCCTTTATCTCAATAATCATCACCTTTTTAGATGATGTTCACATCTCTTTTTTTCATAATGTCCATTTGTGGATGCCTGTTAGACATGACTCGGTGAACCCGCTACTATTGTAGAATACCCCGTCCTTATTTGTGCTTACAATCTAAAGTCTTAAGCTTTTTCTTCCATTTCTCTCCCCCCATTTCTTGTCATAGTTCTACTGTCCACTCTCTTTTATTATCACTAATTTAATGTGGATTTATGTAACTTCTTGCCTGGAGCACCACCAGCTTCTCAGATAAATTGTCCTTAATTTTTATTCCTATTCATTTTCACACAGTTCTGCTTAATTAAAAACAAATTGCTACCAAGAATATTTCTAACTCAAAGCATCTGCATGTGTGCCCGGTAGAACTGTGATCCTCAGCATTTTCAGAGGTGGATTGTGTAACGTAGATGCCAAACTTTCTTTCAGGCTGTCTCTGGGGTTAACAGCCTAGTGTGTTAACCTTTTGCACATCAAGGGACAACTTCTATTGCATTGCAGCTGTTGAGTTGTCTCTGACTCATAGTGACCCTTTGTACAACAGAACAAAGTCCTGCCGAATGCTGTGGTCTCCGTTCTATTGTTCTGACGTCCATGCCCAATCACGCTGCCACTTTATTTTGTTGAGGGTCTTCTCTTTTGTCAGCACTCTACCAAGCTTGCTGTTTTTCTTTAGGGTCTGTCCCTTCCTACCACACCTCAAGTGTATGAGACAGAATCTTGGCATCCTTGCTTCTGAGAAGCACTCTGGCATCTCTTCTTTAAATACAGGTTTATTTGTCCTTTTGGCAGTCCATGGTATTCTTATTCTTCTATTTTTAGTCTGTTCAATAATCTTCACCACTATCACAGTTCAAAAGTATCAGTTAATAATGTCCTCTTCCTTATTCATTGTGCAGATTTTACATGCGTATGTTG